CGGCCAATCCATTTCGCACGTGCAGCACGACATTTATTCTGACAACAAAGCACAAGAAGACCTTTCAAAATATATTTGCATATATTTACAATTACTTCAGTTGCTGTTTTGTCTCAACATTTTTTTCGTTTACAAACCAGAAGAACATTATAACATACTCCAAATAATAATACAGCACAATATTCCAGAAGTATTTCCATCATGACTTGTTTTCTACATATAATGTTCCTTATTGTTTATTGTGTTATTGCCTGTTTGTGTCCTGTTCTGATAATGCTGCCCATCTCCTGTCTCCAATCGCGAAGCCCCAAGCCATGTGCGTCCCGCAACGTGCTACACCATACTTCACCAACTACCGAATGACGTCACAAGGTCACGTCACACTGTGATCCCAACAATTTTTGACATGCAATCCTCATTTCGAATATCTTCCTCACTATACCGCGTTCACTCGTGTTTCTGTTAAAAAACGGTGAACAACTGTGATCGCGAGTATTCGCGCTCTGGGTGATTATTGCGCTATGTGTATCCTTTTGTTTTAGTAATTCAGAATCTCCACTGCAAATATTTTTAGTGACGAACTTGTTACACTAGACCTGTTACAAATTTATTTTACATTCGGGTTAAAAGATAACAGAATGCATACACCAAAACGTAATACACAGTTGGTTTTATGTTCATACTACTGTGAAAACAGCGCTTGGATGCACGGGCGAGGGATGGGCGGTTCGTGATGGACATAGGACGCCAAGGCTGTTTTAGACACAAAAAAATGTATTTCTGTTGGTCAAGCACATAGTCAACACTCCTGGCTGGATGCTGCCATTTTGGTACATATGGAAATTGGAAAATGGTAAAGGAAACGAAATCAAATATAACAAAAGTGGAATTAAACAACGAAACGAAATAATAAACATTTGGGCTCAAAAGGCTTTCTGACATGGCCGCCTCCAAATTTAGGCACTAAATTTGTCAACATCTGAAGAAAGTCTTTCCACACTGGAACTAGAGTCAATTATCGTCATCAGCACATTCAGGTAGTTGGATGAGTATTGTGATTGGTCTGGTGTAGTCCATGTCTTTCACACTGACAGTGGCAGTGCGAACACATCCATCTGTTCCGGGGTAGGGTTTGGTGACTCTACCAACAGGCCACTGAGCTCTTAAGAATCAACTATCATGACAACGTCATTCATCTCCAAGTTGTGTCTCTCTTTCTGCCACTTTGTTCGCAGCTGCATATCAGGAAGATAATATTTGACAAAGTGTACCCAAATGTGGTCGGCCAGAACTTGACTGTGGCGCCATCTGCGTCTGCGTAATAGTTTCATCAGCTGGATAGACAACTTGTGGAAGAGAAGCATCAGCAGGATTCTTGGTGTAACTGGGTCCAAATCTCTGACATCTGATGAAACGTAGGCTAACGGCTTAGAATTCAGAATCCCTGCCACCTCTGCTAGAATGGTACGTAACACAGGTTCTGTCACTGTCTGATCTCCTAGTGCCACTCGGAGGCCATATTTCAGTTAACCTCTCTTTCCCAAACACCTCCGAAGTTAGGTGCATGAGGAGGATTGAACACAATCTGACCTTATGGCGAGCCAGTTGTTTAGCAAGGCCTGGTTCCATACTTGCAAGTGCCTCCTGCAACTCTGTTTTAGCCCCTTCGGAAATTGGAACCTTGGTCTGAGATGAGTTTGTTAGGTTTGCCTCTCAGTGAAGCGAAGCGGCGAAATGCCATGAGGAATGCATCCGAGTCCATGCTCCTGAGTATGTCTAAATGCACCGCAGGGGTGGTCATACATTTAAATATCAAACCCCATCATTTCTCTGAGCGATGTCCAACCTTCACATGCATTAGTCCGAAGCAATCAACTCCCGTTGAGAAGAATGTTGGTTTGAAAAGTCGCAGACGTGGTTGTGACAAGTCAGACATTTTCAATGTCTTAGGGTTTGAGTGCCATTTCTGACAGGAACACTGACGCTGATGACGTCGAATCGCTTCTTGTCCCCTCAATATCCAAAATCTGCGTCTTACCTCTGCGAGTATACGCTCCTGCCCATAGAGTAAGAGCTTCTCATCTTGATCCTGGATGATCAACTTTGTAATAACATGTTGTGGGTCCAGAAGAATTGAATTGGATGCTCTCTGTAAGCGTCCTCCTCCTCTGATCAGATCTGATTCTATATCATAAATAGGGTCAAGATGGAGGGAATGACTCTATTTGCACTAGTTGATAGAGATGGTTCTTTATTTGTTCAAACCGTTCAGCAGTCAAGAGTTGAGCATTTTCCGGCCAGGCCGCCCCATCGAAGGACTCTTTAACATCAGCCACAAACACGTCCCAGGATGACGTACCTGGCACACTGTTTGTTTCTTCAATCCTCGACATATATTCAGGAAGTGTTCATTACTGTTACAGTATGGACAGAAAGGCTTGGTCATGTGACTCCTAGCAGATTTGTAAGAAGATCCGGGTTTCTGTTCAAATGGTTTGGAATCCCTTGAATGGAATAAAGCTGTAGGTGCAGACCCCTTCTGACTTGTCCATCGTGGATACCTCCTGTCAGGTTAAGTACTCTCCCTTTTGTATAGGACAGTGGCCTGGTTAGCTATATGCTTTGCACGGGATTTTGTCTGCAGCCAGTCTGACAAATGACACAATGTGTAGGTCTGGTCACTGTCAGCCTTGAGGATATCATGGTTGATACAATGTTCCACAAAACTATCTCGATAACCTGGGGATAACTTGCCGATCAGATGGTCCAGATGTGACCGACATCTCAGTTCATAACCTTTCTCTCCCTCAAGTGACTTTAGCATACAGACAAGGGAATGGACTGATAGGGCAAAACTGTCAAACCCATCAAAGTCACCATATTTAAGTGCTGGCATATTCATGAGTATACCGATTTCACTTTGTACAAGTTGTCTTGGATGACCATACTTGTCCTTTAGTGCTTGCAAGGCTGCTGTGAAAGGTTTGGGATCATGTATAAATGCCGCAACTAGGCGCTTCGCACATCCTCCAATTTTGTCAAGTAAAACTTGGTATTTGTATTGTTCCGTAAGGTGTGGATGCATATTCGCCAGGTTATCCAGTGCCATCTTAAGCAAAGCAAAATCCTTTTCTTCCACTGGTGAAATTGGGTTATGTAGGTCTTGTTCTGCCATCAGATGAGGAAATCAACAGTTCGGTGAGGTTAGGTGTGCCAACCTGAGGTGTCATACCAATAAACACTGGCGGTTATGTCAGTTGTTCAGTTGGAGGCAATGTTGGAATATCTGGTTGGAGCGCTTGATGGCATATTCGGTAACGGAAATGCTTGTGAATCCAAGAACAATGGCTGAGGCACTACCATTGTTGGTGTCAAACTTACCTGGGGGTGGCTCCTTGGACATGAATCAATACCAGTACCATAACCCACAAGGGAAGTGTAAGTACACCAGTGGCTTTTTGGAAAGTATTTAACACATTGTGTGTTGTGATTTGTTTGGCACTGGTTAACATCTGACCTTGAAAGTGGTCATTCTGTCTGTATACTGGCATACAAGTTGTCAGGTTACCAGGATTAGGATTAATCACTTGATGAAGTACACCTGGATGTACTCTGTCAGATGGATCTGGGCCCAGCAGTATCTGGTTCCCAAGGGTTTGACCTCACCAGTGGGTAGAGTTTGGGAGGTGTCAGGAATTGTAAGCTGCTCTGTATTATTAGAGTTTCTTACATTGCCAGGCTGAATGGCATCAGGGTCAGCAGTAGGTGGTCCAGTTACTGACTGTATTTGAATGTTACCATCAAAACTGGGTTATTCTGTTAGTTCCTCTGGAGGTTGTACATTCTCTGCATTGTTGTTGGGGTCTTCATTTACCATGGTAGCAATTAGGGTTGCTTCAGCAAATTTCTGTTGAGCTTGTCTAAGTTGTCTCTGTCTTGATAGTTGAGTATTTAGTACCTCTCTGCTGCGAATTGCGTCACGCTCTATTTCTTCTGTCCGTCTCTTAGCCACATTCGCCTCATCCTCAGCAGCTAAGCGAGCATCATAGCCCTGGTCATCTAATGCCTGCAATTGCTCATCAAATCTGAACTCCTACTGTATGCTAAACGCGAGTTTGTCAAGCTGAGCTCTTGTTCTTTGCTGTCTTACCTCTGCAGACTGAGATTCACTTAGTCCAGATATCACTGAAACTTTTGAGGACTTACTTCTTGAACCAAGTGACCTTTCACTGTGACTGGCCTGTATTCTTAGACTATGTGATCTGGAAGACCTGACAGTATTAGTATCTGGTTGTAACGCCATGTCTTCAGATAATTTACCTCAAAATAAAAGTATTTCAGTCTGTGACTTGTCGTATGATGATAGTCTATGACGTAAAATAGCCTCGCTGCCGGGCTTCGAACTTAGAACAACACTGGATGAACATTGAATGCCTGTTGCAGGAATACTGTTCTGGAATCAGTTAATGTATATGTAATGTAACAGTTGCATATGGAGAATGTGACTTGGTAACAGGATATTTGGCACGAGATGTATACTGTCTTGTGATTGAATGTGGGGTTTACCATTCACTGGCGGGATGGGTAATGCGTACGTATAGTACACTGTTTTTATTTGGAATTTGGCGTCACCTGGTTATTGTATCCGCCTCGCCAATATGGATATAGGACGCCAAGGCTGTTTTAGACACAAAAGACTGTATTTCTGTTGGTCAAGCACATGGTCAACACTGCCATTTTGGTACATATGGAAATTGGAAAATGGTAAAGGAAACGAAATCAAATATAACAAAAGTGGAAATAAACAACGAAACGAAATAATAGACATTTGGGCTCAAAAGGCTTTCTGACATACTGCACTGTCATTATATTACACTATGTGTATGTCAGTGCATTGTTCTTTGCTGTGCATTCCTTGCAATTAGATATTTTTGTACAACTTTAATATCCAAATTTGTTTCAGGTGTTATTCACTTGTAAACTACATTCATATGTTGTAGGTATACATCTGAAGTATGACAAAGACAGAGTCAATCTCGACAAAGTCCACATCAACACAGAAGGAGACCTCGTCAACAGGAAGTTGGACACCAGACCTGCAGGGAAGGGCAGACTGAAGGAGTACCATGGCACATGTAGCACTGCCCCCCTCCCCCAGGCTGGCTGTCCCCAGTACTGGGAGATGGTGAGTAGGGTCAGTCTGGACAAACCACTTCCAGGGAACCGCCTCAACCTGGAGGTAGGGGTATGCAGGGAAGAGCAGAGTGACGTGTGTCATTGTATCAATGGACAACCCAGCTCCTGCTGCATGCAGGTCGCCCACTGTACTACACACGGCGGGATATGCATTAAGACATGGAAGGAAGGGAGGTATGTGCAACATCTGCCCGAAACTCTCCCCAACACAGCGGGGGCATCACACACACTACATTACGGTGTTGTCTATGATGACGCCAGGAAGAAGATTGTCTTCATTGATGTGAAGGAGAACAAAGTGATGTCGACGTTAGACAATGTAGACTCCAGTCAGCCACTGTGGCCGATGTTCGGGGTGTATAACCCAGATGACGTCACTGTCAGCATGACACTTGTATTGGGCAGCGACATCAACATGACAGAGGAGAAGAAAGCAATGATTGTCAAGGCGCTGTCGTGATGGTGACAATGAGTGTCAAGGTGCTGTCGGTATGGTGAGAATGATTATCAAAGCACTGTCGTAATGATTACAATGATAGTCAAAGCGTTGTCGTGATGGTGTCAATGATTGTCAAGACGTTGTCGTGATGGTGACAGTGATTGTCAAGGTACTGTCGTAATGGTGACAATGATTGTCAAGGCGTTGTCGTGATGGTGACAATGAGTGTCAAGGCGTTGTAGTGATGGTGACAATGATTGTCAAGGGATGTCGTGATGGTGACAAAGTGTCAAGGCGTTGTAGTGATGGTGACAATGATTGTCAAGGGATGTCGTGATGGTGACAAAGTGTCAAGACGCTGTCATAATGGTGACAATGATTGTCAAGGCGATGTCGTGATGGTAACAATGATTGTGATATGAACACACAGATTTGAAGCAGAAACTCACTGCTCAGGAACAACTACATGACTCGAAAATGTCTTCTGTGTGAAAGAAGGCTTTCATCTTCGTTTATTTAAATATCATTATGTAAACAATGAAGTGTGTACGCAACACAAAACCAGAAGTTTAAATTATGATCTTCTAACAGCAATCAAATATACGCCCCTGAACCTGTAATATTGATGTGATGTGCGTAAATGTATATGACATTTAGATATATAGGAAAAACGGTTTTGTTTCGTTGTTTGTTTCTTTGTTATTTAACGCCGAACTCAGCAAAATTCCAATTATATGATGTTGGGCTGTAATAAATCAAGGCTGGACAAGATAATTCAGTGATTGGCGTCAAGAGCATCCATGTACGCAATTGGGATACGATGATATTCATCAACCAAGTAAGCGAGCCTGACCACCCAATCTCATTAGTCTCCTCTTACAAGCATAGTCGCCTCCCATAACAAGCATGTGTTGCTGAAGACCTATTCCTACTTTGATCTTCATGGGTGGGGTATAACTATCATGGTACATGGTACGACACACAATCAGGCAAGTCGCCGGAACTGACCAATCGATCCACGCAGTCGCCTCGTTGTCCATGCTGACAGTGGATGGGGATGTCAGTGGGATTTTGTGAGAGATGTTTATGCAACTGAATAATGTAAGCGATATATTACGAGAAGCTATTGTTTTAAAAATATTTACATTAAAGTTGATTTGGTTGTTTTGTGACAATAAATATTATGTGGCAATCAACAGTGACAATTCGTGTTCATTTGGACTGTTTCGCGATGATGATTTTGCACGATGGGGAATACACATGCATTGTCAATTTGTTTAAAGCGTGTATACTTTCTTGTTTTACGTGAAATATGTTGTATACAAGGAGTATATTTAGGACAAAATATATACTTAAAGACGCCTCCTGCATTTCTATAAGACATGTCACCTTAATTATGAGACAGATGGCGACATGTTTTCCTTCAAGAAGTTTCTTTTCGAGAAAATTCAAGAACATATTTTACACCCGCCTCAGTGACTATTGTAGAATTATTGCGTATACGTTGTTGCAGGATTTGGTGTACCTGCTGTTTTACACCACGAGCCGGAGTGGAGTGGTATATAATCTAACGCGGAACGCATAAAACCACATGTATCCCGAGTAATACTTTTTGCCTTGAAGCAGGGTAAAAGGGATTCATTCTCCCTCTCAGAAATGTATTTCCCTGCCAGGCGGGATACATAGAATGTTATCAAGAACACGTGTACCAATCCTATCTCATCATTCTGACTTGGTGAGGTGAGGTGAAATGGGGTTTAACGTCGCGGTCATAATTATTGCACTTGCAGGGCGACGTGCAGGCAAGGTTATATATGTGGCTGCTTGTTCTAATCCCCTCTAATGCCGACTGATATACATGCAACAGCAAGAACCATCTTTTAACGTCTTTTGGTATTACGCGGCCGGGTATTGAACCCCGACCTTCTGCTCTACGGGCGGAAGCTCCACCACTAGACCACGAAGGCGTTCTCATTCTGACATTGAGGTATGGACCCGTGAAAATCCGGGGTAGAATAGATCTTCAGTAGCCCATGCTTGCCGTCAAAGGCGATAATGCCTGTCGTCAGACTAACGGGATCGGGTGTCAGGCTCACTAACTCGGTTAATGTAAAGGTGACGCTGTTCTTCAGGTCTTCCATTAACTACCGGACTAAGGAGGGCAGATGGAAAGACCTAGGGATTCTGCATATGATAATGCCCTGAAAAATAGCTTTACCGTTATTATAGCTAAAATTATCGAGAGATGATCATTGGAAGCCAGTGGATTTATTGGATGGACATAAGGATTTAGCAATTAGGTGATGTCGTAGGCGGGATGTAGTAGCCTTGATCCCTGTTCATTGCTGGTTGGATCCTTTTGATGTAGACGGCTTCTAGGAGTTTTCTGATTTGTAGTCTGACTGATTGTTGGCCAGGATCTTGATGTTGTTTCACTGGATGTACTGGTCGGGGTGGGTTTGGGTGTGGTCGGACATGGCAGATTTTGAGTCTTTTTATTTGTACTGAGGTCTTGTGTTCTTTTATTCAAAACCGGCCATCTCCGACCACACCCAAACCCATCCCGGGGTTATCATCTTCATCATCGCTATAATCATCGTTGTCATCAATATCATTATCATCATTAACAACATCTTTTTTAGGTCATTGTTATGAACATCACAAACACCATCGTTAACATCAATATTAGTGTTATTGATAACATCATCATATGGATGGTTGCTATCGTTATTAGTGTATTGTTTTGAACACTTATTGTTAGTACTGTTCATTAAAATATTTTCATGAGAGAAATGTTGTTGACATTGTTGTATATCGTTGTTGTCGTCAGTGCTAGTAGTGAAAACTGTACTGCTTTCTATTTGAGAAGACGTGTGCATTTCACCGACATTCCGCGTCCATGAGCAGAGATCGTCATTAAAGAGACACTGACAGTTTATGTTTGTGACGACACTGAATATTTTATTCCATTAAGATGGAGATTAGACACAGTACCAGCATGACATCCCTCATTAGAAATGTTCGTGTCTTGAGGAAAGTTTAGTTGTGGTTGACAGCGTGGACTTGCTCGTAACCACCAGATGACAGCCTGCCTCGATGTCGCTTCTGGCGAAGTCAGTGAGGCTCTTTACGGGGGTGGCGGTATGACTTTCTCGAGCTTATTATCAATATAAAGGTTGTCGACAACGATTGAGGCACGCTTGCCTTCTTTCCTTGCTGATTTAAATAAATAAATTTGGAAATATTTCGCCTGTCACATACAGAATAAACACAAATCACTACATAGTATCAGTAATCACCACTAATATAAAATAACAATGTGATTTCCATTACTGGTATATAATTGGGATATTTTTTATTCTGTTTGACCTTACATGCTCCCGTGACCGGAAACGGTAGACGATGAATCAACATGCCACGAGCAAGTTTCTTGGTATCTTTTATTTGAACTTTTGTTGATACATTAGGATTACCATTCGATGTTACGTTGAATATGAAGGGACATGATTCATGTATTTGTGATGTACACGCTGATGATTTTGTTTCCACTATAATACGTGTTTCCCACGCAATACGTCTGTAGATATCGTCGATCGGCAATGATCACCCTCCACAAAAGGTGCGCGTATATAGGCGTGACAAACTGTGTTTCAAAATAACATTCATGCACTGCGGAATAGGATAAGATGTATAAAATATTATAGTACATACATCCATCGTCAGTGTTAGTTTCACATTAAGTTTGGGATAGTTAAAGGATTATTCCTTTTAAAGCAGTGTAGATTCTAGCGTGATTTTCGAACAATTTCACGAAGAATTTTAAAATTTATTCCATAAATATATAGATCGCAATGGTTGGGTAATGATGACAGATTTGTTAATGGTTAATTATTTCACAGGACAAATCTTGGGGTTATAATGGCCTGACGTCAATCAATATGGCGGCATTATTAAGTGGACTGAAAATTTCTGATAACAGGCGGGTTGTTTAAAGATAATTCTATCCATTTTAGCTATTATGCTTGTCATCGTATCCCAATTGCGTAGATCGATGCTCATGATGTCAATCGCTGAATTGTCTGGTCCAGACTTGATTATTTATACTGCTCGACTGTTGGTGAGTGTGTCGTTAAACAAACAAACAAGCATGGAAGTATGATGGCTTATTTTGAAGCAATATGCCGGGGAACGCCAGAAATGGATTTTATAACATGATTTTGTTATATTATTTCATAATGAGCCCCAATAACATTTGTTTTGAATAGATGTACAGTTTCCGAATATGCTCACAAGACAACAAGCTGGACTGGTTGAAATAACACATAAACCGTTTGATATTTAGTAACACAATGTGAAACATTGTATAAACCTTATGCAAGCGCTGCCACAAACACCACCAACAACACCAACACCATCAACAACACCAAGATCAACACCACCAACAACTACACCAGCACCAACTCAAGCACCACCACCAGCAACAACACAAACAACAACAACACTAACATAACACCACCAACAACACTTCCAACACCACCACAATGAAAGCACCAACACCAGCAGCAATTCCGAAACCACCAACAACAACACCACCACCACCAACAACAACAACAACACCAGCACCAACTCAAGCACCACCACCAGCAACAACACAAACAACAACAACACTAACATAACACCACCAACAACACTTCCAACACCACCACAATGAAAGCACCAACACCAGCAGCAATTCCGGAACCACCAACAACAACACCACCACCACCACCACCATCAACAACACCAACACCAACAAGACAAACAACACCAACACCAACTCCGGCACCACCTACACCATCAACAATAACACCAGCCCCAACACGTACTCCGGCACCAACACCAACACCACCAACACCACCAACAACACCAACAACAACACTTCCAACACCTCCAGCATGAACTCCGGCACCACCACCAACACTAACAAAACCAACACCAACACCAGCACCAACTCTGGCACCAACACCACCCCCAACAACAGCAACGCCACCAGCACCAACAACAACAACACCAACACCACAATCAACACCAACAGCACCATCAGCACACCACCAAAACCACCAACAACAACAACAACATCAACAACACCAACACCAACAACAACACCACCATCAACAACACCAACACTAGTGTACAGGAGCTAACTGCAAGATTTGATTAATTGGAAAATGATATAGACAAACAGGTTTGCCTTTGATGTCGGACGAGCCTACTTCTGGTTGTATCAATACGTCTGTGACCCACTCACCCTCTGTGGAATTTCAGGAACTAAAAGATAATGGTCAATTTGGATATTTTTAATATGAAAAACTTCATCTCTGATCGCCAACAGCCACCATTCGAGGCACGACACACAGGAGGAAGCGATAATCACATGGATACTGGTTAAGAGCATATGAAGTCAGGACCAACACCCGGTGATGTCACAGACTCCAAGTCAGTTTAAGAATGCTATATAATGTTGTTACAAGCTGCTACTTAAATGAGGTATCTGGGATAAAGCATATCTTAATACTGTAATACTGCCGACTCGAGGTTACATTTTCACTCACTCACTCACTCACTCACTCACTCACTCACTCACTCACTCACTCACTCACTCACTCACTCACTAGAAACCTGCGTCTGATGGAAATAACCGAACTCACTACACATTGGCTGTCCTTTCGCTCTGATGCTGGAATGTGCAACTCTATTCAAGATCTTTTTACGAACGCTTCCAGACTCCATTGATTTTGCTATCACAGACTTGACAGAATACGATTGAACATAGCCTTGCTCCAAGCAGTGCCCATGAAATTGTCTATTTTATGGTGTCTGCTCCAAGGCTGCCCATGTAAGTCCATGAGTGTATAGTAGTTCTATCCTTATAATGGGCAAGTCTAGCAAAGCGGACTGAACGCTTATCCCTTGTAGGGACAACTTGTTCTTATTGTTTACTAGTATATAATCTAGAAATTATGATTTAAGGTAATGAGTGAGTGAGTTAATATTTAACGTCACATCGGCAGTATTTCAGCCATATCGTGACTGTGCATATCTATATTCACGGTAGTAAATGAAGTTTTGTTGTCTATTCAGAAACAATAGTTTTACAACCAAAACAATAGTCTTAAAGTTAAAATTGCAAACTAAACTTTGATATGGAGGTTAAAAACACATTTACGTACCTTTTGTTGTCATCTGCTTCGCGGAAGAGGAGTTCAAAATGACGTCATGTCGTGGAGATTTTGGAAGGGAATGTTGTGGACAAAGGGAGACAATTCAGTAACGTAGCCAGCATCCCTGGTATTAACATGAATGTGTTGAGGAAAGCCCGAAGTTTCACTCGATGCGGGTCTTATAATGTTCTACTTTGGTGAAACCCACGAGAAGGGTATATTCTGACAAACCAAGGATCAAGGAGCGAAGGTTGGGATTCGAACCCAATATCATACTCTCTCACCCACTCACCCACTCGCTAACTCCCGAAACCACTCAACCCACTCTCATTCACTCGCTCATCTGAGATCAATATGTCGACTATCTTACTGGAATTACATCCCATTGAACACAGCTACGCGCCGAAAGAAGTTCATTATCGAATAATAATTATACCTAAATAGAAATACCAGTTTTGTGATATTTCTTGTCCGAAAGAAATAGTCATTGTTGTCACGTAATTTTGTGACCGTAGACATGATCATGTCGTTGGGAGTAGGAACAGACGAGTTCACGTCTCACAACAATGACGTCATAACAGCAGCGGTACAGGCGAGAATTCTTGTGTGACGTGGAGAATGTTGTCAAAGCATGCCCATGATTATTCAAGTTTAATTTCGTAAGGTATGTTTTAGCGGACCAGAAGGAGAAACATTATTAAGATGTTGTGTTTTGACCAGATTCAATTAAAAAGAGTTTCAAGTAAATGCAACACATGTTTATAAACCCCGTTTCAATAAACAAGTGTTGTCTTCCCTTGAGATGATTTTCAGAAGGATCATGATTAAAAGATAAACACTATGTGTGTGTCTATTTCCGGGATTTTATCGAGTACTTGCATCTTGGAAAATCATCTCGATACCCGAAAGCGTTAGCTTGAGGGGCTCGAATGAAAATTTCCAAGATGCAAATACTCGATAAAATCCCGGAAATAGACACACACATAGTATTTATCGATATTGTAAACCTATTGTTTTATTTAGAAAAAAAAACATGCGCACTCTTTAACACCTCGTACTTACTCGGTTGTGAGGCGTCAACATCGATCGCTCTGTTGTTGCTATGGGGATTAGTATGCAAAAAATGCTTGGTAATTATGTATTTCTACACAGTGATTTGGTCGCTTGCTTCAGGAAATGCAAACTATTTTTTTCACCCTTTGACATTTGGCCATGTGACCCAAATTAGCCAATCACAACACAGAACACACTTTCTATAGGTTTACAATTATTTATACAGCGACTTTGTACATGTGCTTGCCATCAACAACCAATCAAAAAGTCTCTTCTGAATGTGAGTTTGGCAAAGGTCTACGCTCAAAACTGCAGGAAGACCGCGATGTATGAAAATGAATCCAAAGACTGTTATACATGATTTCCGAGACGGGAAAGATATGTTGCTAAGTATTAAACTTGGAAAGGAAGTCCTTTGGCTACAATACGTTCCGGTGACGGGATCTGTAAGTCAAGACAAGTATTGGTGCTGTCGTTGCTTGTTTAGATAATGAAGGAACATTGTCTTTTTATTGGACATCTATTTTAAGAGTCGTGTCATCCAAACCGGGCTCAGTGATGCTACTGTGGTGAATGGGTAGTCTGTCTCACTGACACTAAAGCATAAAATTGAAAAAGTGAGTCTGGAATGATTTGGAAAGTCTTGATTGACTCAGCTCTAGGAAACTTAGAGAACAATTGAGGATTGTTCTGGGTTCATTTGGATTTTATTATTTTTGTTTCATAGATTATATAGTCTTAAATATTTTCTTGAACTAAATGTCAGTCTAGTGTATATATATATCCCCTGGTACCTATTCGCTAGACTGACATTTAGTCAAAGAAAATATTTAATATATAGATATGATACACTGGATAATCGAGCTGGGCTTAAACATAACAAGGTAAAAAGAGGAGTAAGCTTTTTCATATGATTGTATAAAATAGACTTTTATCCCCCAAGTTGAGAATATAACTTGGGTAAGATCACCGATATCTCAAAGTAGATATCACTACAAGGATGTGCATCACAATGCTTTGCTGACGATTGTGACGCCATCAGTTATCACTACATCACATGACCTTTTTACACTCAAGACACTGGTTATAACTGTTTGAAAACCAAAAGGATGAGAGAAAGATTTTGGAATATAAAATATAAGTATACCATTACACCCTCGTCGATAAAAGTTTTAAACTCCTCGGCAAGCCTCCGTTGACATGCTGTTCGGCTTATGCACTCTCTTGTATATACGGGACTTGACTCACGAATAAACGTTGTTTGTCAAAGGAGACTGAACTTATAAACCTACGTTATTGCCTGAGCTTCTTAAATGCTGTCTGTAAGGAACTGGGCTTATTTCAGCTCTTGTAAGGGGTCTGGGTGTATGTATATGTAAACAATATGTTGGTGGGTTGATAAAAAGCTGATCGCCATGCAGATGAACTGGCCATCGAGCACATCCCACGTCCATCGGACCAGAAGGACTGATGATGACGTTTGTTTAACACCTAGTTACTCAGGGGCAAGGCGGGTGAGGGACACACATACTTACTTCAAGTATACGTCTTTAGTGATTTAATATTATGTGTATCCAGATGCCAAGAAGCGATGTTCATCGTTATTCAAGTCACTCCACGATGCGCCCAACAAGTTCCTTCTCACGTCACGATGTAAAGGTTACAAACAGGATTAAATCGAAATCAAAACCAATCGTCACAGCAAGACCAGTGCCTGGTTGGACAGGGGCGCATTCTCCCGTGTTGGTTGTGCACTATGTACATCTTGAGGAATGTATAATGAATATGTTGGAACTTCATTTGGTATCTATCGTGTCAATGAGTTATCGCTTCTGGTGTGATGTCGCAAGTAAATTGTTATTAATAAAAATGGTGTCATTTCAAAATCTTTTCTTGTATATTCTTCCCGAGGAGAGAATTACTGCTTGTGTGATGGTTGATTTATGTAAAGAATATTGATTGCATTCTATATAATAATTCTTAATTCAAAATTAACAAATCATTTTTGAACTTCTCAGTAAATGGGTATTTGTGTCTGTTACTCTGATGTGCTAGTTGACTCACGTGAGGTGGATGTCATTGTATATAATAACTGATCGACATGGGTGTTATGAGACTGGAACAAAGAACTGCTGTCGTTTTACCAATGTTTCTCTGAGAGACATGACAAACTTTGTCCGAAGTGTGAAGAGAAACTTTAGAAGTGTGGTATAACATTCACAGTGTGTTGTCTTTCTTTCATTTCAGTCAGTTGACGTGTGAGGACAGAGAGTCGTGCGTCCACATTTGATTGAACAGTCATCAGCTGGATAACTGAACAGCGAGGATAGAGGTAACATGTTCAGTAATTGGTGGATTGTGATGAACAGGAGTAAATGCAGTTGTTGAGCGAAGACAGGTTGTTTATTAAATAAAGATAAAAGCAGCCTTCTCCCGTCTTATCTAACAAACAAAGGTCATACGATATCACCCTACGTCAACCCCATTCCATCGATCTCCTCGCTAACACATATTTACCAAACTATAGCCTCGTGGAATCTCACTGAATGAACTACATGTTATATCCAAATGACAGCTTGGTGTCAGGTTACACTGGGGGGTAAACCCAACATCAACAGTCATATGTACTGGACATGTGATCACTCAAAATAATCATTCCAAGAACTACCAGTATTACATCAGTTTGTTTGTTATAAGATTACACATATCATTTTCAATATGATTGCCCTGGATAATTTCACGTGGCTCAAATTAAAGAGACCAAAATATCTGAGTTGACGAGGAACAATGACATATAAAAAGGAAATAGACATAGTCGTTATTATTATGAACATAAGTATATGCATCAGCTATATATAACACACTTGTAACAACACGTCATCTCCCGGAAGTGACGTGTGTCACAGTGAAGAATGTTACCTGTCCAGGTAGGTGTGTTGCGTCTCGTCTCTCACTTTGTCTCCCTACACACAGATAAATGTTAGATATTCAGAGTTAAAACTTGCATGTATATGTCAAGATACTATCAGGCTGCTGAAGGTGGTGCCTATACCCTGATTCGTACTGCGTTTATCCTGAATTTTAGTGTTAGCTGACTGCCACACATTCCTACTTTCGGTTTACAGCGTTTACGTAATGACTCACTTTTACTGTTAAAGTGTATAATAGAAAACCCTCGGCCGTGTCGCCATGTTTGACAGAGGAAGCGTATGTGCTCGCTGTCACATTACCGATATTGAAACGTATTTAGACGACACATACATATAGAATGCACAGACTGTTAGATAAGAGACGGATTTCTTGTATCACTTTGTTACTATAATATATATCAACTGGTGAAGCTTATCATGAGTACTATTGATTCTATGTTGTTGCTGAAAGTACCTTTATAGTGAGGGATCGATCATTGTCAAAACATTACACTATCACATAGCAACACGCATTTGGGCATACGTAGCATGCATACAAAACAGTAATATATCGATTATTCAGTTCACTGTGACGAAATAGTTAATCAATATTCTACAGTTTGATTTCTGAGAAGTTATCTTTGTTGATTCAATTGATAATTGATAAAATGCATAGTTGTTTCTGAACGCCAGTGCGAATGAATAGCTGTATGACTCATTCTACGCAGTAGTTTTGTTATCAATGGTAGCCTGGATACGGGGTTGTAACCCTGTACAGTAGGAGGTACCTTTTATCAGCGTTCAATCAGAGGGAACGCTGAATATTAAGAGTGTAAGAACGCAGCTGCTTTGTCGCAGTGTTCCGTCTTAATGTTCTTCCCTTGCGCACTAGTCCTTTTATTAAGGTGACCGAAGAATTATGAAGATATTTTCCATGATTTACATTTGCAAACACACTTTCCATTGTTTGCGATATGTTGAAGCGTTAGAGAATATGTTTTTTTTGGTAAGACATATCTTCTTCCCCTTAAGTTACTTAACCTTCAGCCAGCTGAACTGTTTTTGCAATAAGGTGCAGTAAAGAGGGTGGACGTTTTAAAACAGTCGGTGCTTCATCAAACAAGGGCCAATTGAAGAAATATCTTATTCCTGATAGAAAACTACACATTACTAAGTAAAAATGTCCTGATGTTTTCAATCATACCAAGGTTAAGACCAAAGCGATCACAAAATGTGTAAATTTTCTTGCCTAAATTAACTTATTGAAGGTGGTTGCGTTTCATGTAAGGAACCTTTTTATATCGTTTAATTGGTGCAAATTGATTTTAATAATCAAATATCCGTTATCGTCATTTTAACTGAGTATAAATTCGATGTTTCTTATCGGTAGATTACAGCCCGATGACACATTTATTATCCAAACGTTATACAGAAAAAAACTCAATTTCCGAGGTCATGGTGTCAGTTGCAGAAATACGAACATTCGGGTTTATCTAACGTGTCATGTTATAAAATTTCTATGAAACAATTAATGACTTACAAATATTCATCAATCCTAATTTCATGTGTTTTGGTTGAATATTTACGATATAGGAAAATACTAATCCCGTTTTATGATGCCAGTTGACGTTCAAATATCAAAGATGGCGTGCTTCACCCGACCTCGGCATAACTTACTGCTATTTTAATATCAACAAAGTTTACATTTCCTTCATATATATGCCTTGGCGAAAGTTGACGATCTCCTCAATCGAAGAATGTTTCAAGTGTCATTTTCCGTTTAATTTGACGGGAGAAACACTATAATAAAGATAGTGAATTTTGCCAGCAATATTTCAGTAAGTGCAAAGGTCACTGGATGTGATGCCACAGATAGGGCTAGTCTGCTGATAATGTTTCGTCGCAAAACAATTACATGACATTTTGAAATCTTCGCCTGTCACATACAGAATGAACACAAATCACGACATGGTATAAGTAATCACCATTAATATGAAACAACAATGTGATTTTCATGATATTATTCGCGTATTATTCAATCCGTTTGACGTTGCACGCTCTCGTGAACCGGAAACGGTTGACGATGAATCAACATGCCACAGGAAAGGTTCTTTGAACTTTAGTTGATATATAAGGATTACCATTCGATGTTACTTTGAATATGAATGGACATGATTCATGTATTTGTGATGTATACGCTGATGATTTTGTTTCCAGTATAATACTTGTGTCCCACGCAATACGTCTGTAGATATCGTTGATCGGCAATGATCACCCTCCACAACAGGTGCGCGTAAATGGACGTGACAAACTGTGTTTCAAAAGAACATTCATGCGTAATGGAATATGATAAGATATTCGCAAGTGCGTGATGTATGTATCAATAAAAAAAATCAGTGGACACTAAATTTTAGTCAATGCATCAGCACAGTGTAACTGATCAAATTTCAAATTGTTATCTTGCACCTGTACATCAATTATGTAAATAAGTTACTTTTTAATGTCATTATTTAATTTTAGTATTCCATGAATAATAAATAAGTAGATACGATTCTTCACATATACATACAAAACTCATATGGACACCAATCTTGTGTATTTGGTGAGTTGTTTCCTAACGATACAATTCTAAAACAATATTGTAATATGAATATGATTCATTGATTTCTTGTGACAGTACATGAGATTTTTGGTTGTTTAATCACAAGAACCAGGGTGGCACTTCAGCTGGTGAGTTAGCCGTATATTATGAGGGGATGTTATCGTTTGAAAAATGAATAGAGCAAAAACATTTACATTGACAATTCATGCATTTCTGTTCTGTTGGAGAAATGTACATGGAACATATCCTACCTTATGTATTTTTTTCTGGTGTCTCACCAATGAAATAATGTGTAATTAGTCAAGCAGAACTTTTCAGGTTGTTTGCAGTATGCTCAGGTGTATGACAGTGACACCCATGCATGCCCCTTAATGAACATGAACAATGAATTGTGAAATGTTGTCAACAGATTGTGTTCTACCAGTCAATGTGGTGTACAAAACTTCAAAATATAGGCACATCATCACCAGCCTTAGATCTGACATCCTTGATGATTTGACGGGTTTCTGAATATCCAGTCAGTATAGGTCCTTATCATGTTCCACGTGTCTCAGCCTTCTGGGTGGAGTGAAAATAATTGTCCCTGTTTACATGATTACCCTTGCCAGATGTATTTTTTTCCTGTCAGCCACACCCCATGATTTTGTCACCTTATGTGGTTTATTTTGTGCATACATGTACTGCTATAAACCTGTTTGTACCTTGTATTCAATCACAGAATCGCACGTTCCTCAGCTGGTGTGTAAAAAAGTGCCCTTGCCATTATGAAACAAGAATTGTCCCCTAAAAGTTGTATTTGCAATAAAAAACATGGTTGTCTTTCCTTGAATACTCTTTGGTTAAGTGCTGGAAATTTTCAGTGACATATTTTTTTTTAAATGATAAGGATTTTTCTTTGATAGACCAACGTCAAACTATCTGACAAAGTGAAAGCCCCCATTTCTCAGATGTCCATATTTTTCAGATTTCTTTTTCTACTTTTAGGACAAAACATGGGCCGTCTATTGGCATTTAGTTATGTAAACAAATACTCATTGTAAAATGTGAAAAGGAATTCTACTGACGCAAAAACAATATTTTTCATCCCATCGTTCCACGAAATCCAGTTGAAATGTGATTATGGTAGCTAAACTGGTATGCGCTTTCTACCCAGATTATTTTTTTATTAGTATCAAAGATACACATTTCTTTTTGTATCACTTTTCTATGAAAACACTACAATAAACATAGGGTTTACAAACTTATCTGGCCTCTTCAGATTACGTTTTCCTATCAAAATCAAACAATGAGTTTGAGTTGTGACAACGTTGTAGACATTTTAGTAACATCCTTAATATTCTAAGTTGACCTTCGTGCAACGACAGACCACTCACAATATTATGTTGTTATTATTATGGCATATCTCATATATGTTTCATTATTTGCGGTGTTTGTTCACTTTGTTCAACTAAACAAATCGAAGGTTGGGCCACGCCAAAAAGTGTCACTAACGTTTGTTGGCGTGAAAGTCCGAAATCATTTGCAAAATCTATGAAAACGAGATATTTTGTACACAGATTTATACATCAGTGTCAATAAATCTAGAAAATTAAGATAGATGTTACAAAATGATTGTAATAGAATTGGGGGATCACAATGTATGTGGAGTTGTTTGTTTACCACCGTTGCTATGATCACATATGTTCAATCCAATCGATGATGTTACGATTCTGATTCTTTTTGTTTATAATTAATAACCCCGAAATTTGCTATTCTATTTGCTAGAATTAAGGAACTTGAGTGTTTCTTATCGTCAGCTTACAAACAATTATGACAAAATGTGAAAAATGATAAAATTATCAAGAAAATATCGGAATACATGCCGCTCAACGTGAAGTGCCTAAAGTCAACAATGGCCGTTTCTGGTCGTTGTGTGCCGAGAAATTTTGCAGATACTTTTTTTCTTTTTGAGGTAAATAAACTACTAAAAGTCTTGATAGTTTTCAAGCTGAGCATTTATGCATACCATACTTAACTTAAAATATACGCGTACTCGTTGAACAGTTATAGCGCGTTTCATTTGTGGGTGTCCTTCGACTATGCGCCTGTCGACTGGGTTAGCATTTAACACAGAATATAAAACAGTTGTCCTCTCTAGAGTTTGTTTCAGTGGAAGTAACCCTTATTATGATTATATACAAGAAACCATTTCTACAGTTATGCCGGTTGATTATTTTTTTTATATAAATACGGGCCTCAGAATCGTTTCCATCCTATTCACGTCCACTTCAGTTTAGCAAGTTTTCCATGCAGTAATATAGGATAATCATAAGTAATGTACTACAAAACAATATTTACATAGACAGCAGTGATTTATCTGAATATGTATAAAAGTTTTACCAAGATGAAAAGTTTATCCCTGGAATGTGTCACCAAA